TATATTGTTCGCCTTATCTTACAGTTTTGCCATATATTTTATCTCATATTGATCATTTGTTTAGTATATATTAGGTATATCTTTGGCTGTTTTTTTTATTTTCAACCATTTTTTATAATTTTGCCGGGGCTGCGAGCCCAAGCCATTTATGATGTAAAATTCCCAAATCAAATACTTTCAAATCCAATATAGCTGTACGCCAAACTGCTTCATAACCAAGCAGAGTTCTAAACGTCTTGTTTGGGAGGTAGATATTATAAATTCTGAATAATTCTGGAGATTGTCACAAAAGTATAAGTTTGAATAATTTTGTTAAAACATTAGGGGTAAAACATTAGGGGTAGCCATTAGAAAACTATGAATGTAATGTGTAATTTCTAAAGCACTAGAAGGAAAAATATTTTAATCCTGCAAAACTAAACAAAAGATGGAATATAGTAAATATAAAGTAGGATTGCAAGAACAGATACAAACATTATTAATCACATTAAATTTAACTGGATTAAATTCCTCTCATAAAAGGAAAACAAGTGGTTTGGGTTAAAAAGCAAAATCTTAGCTATATGTTTCTTAAAAGAGACAAACCTGAAAGAAAATGGAAATAAAGGGATGAACAAAGATACATACACTAAGCCAGTTGTTCTCAAAGTGTGGCCTTTGCACCACCAGTATCATTACCACTAGTGAAGTTGTTAGAAATGCGCCTTATAGGGCGCTACCACAGACCTACTTAATCAGAAACTGGCAGTAGGGGCTAGCAATTTTCATTTCAAAATACTTTGGATTTTAAAATAATATGGATGCCCACTCAATTTGAGAACCATTGCCCTAAATGTTAACTAAAAGACAGGGGAAGTGCTAAATACTACTATCAGAAAAAATATAATTCAAGGCAAAAGGGACACAAAGACAAATTCCATATTAATAGAGTAAAATCCACCAACAAGATATTACTGTTATGAAACTTTACACAGTATACAACATCTAAATCAAAAACTTTTAAAATTATAAGAAGAAATGAACAAAACCACCATCATAAAGAGAAGCCAATATTCCTGTCAGAGAAAATGGGCAAGTAAAATAGATTAAAAAATAAGAATATGGAATATTTTAATTAAAATTCAAAAACTTGGTATAATAAGGAACTTCATATCTAATATGTAAGCTTTTTCTAAGATTTTGGTGGTTAAAGAGGAACTCAAATTTAAAATCAGAAGATAAGGGTAATGAGGAGAAATGAAATCTAAGCAGTACCCATATGAAATTTCAGAATTTTAAAAGCTTTTGAAAGAAATAAACAAGCAAAAATAAACCAAACATTAAACTCAAGAAGGTAGTACAAAAAAACATGTGAACAAGGGAAGTAAAAGGAACTAAAGATGATGGTAAAAATAAAGTAGAAAATATTTCCCTACTCTAGACTTCTTAATTAGCAGAGCCAAAAATCTTTTCTTTCAAAAGCAATAAAATAGACAAACCTCTGATAGACAAACCTCTGGCAAGGCTGATCATAAAAAAGGGTGAACACACAAACATTAGGAATGTAAAAGGGGATGTACCTAAAAAGATAGATATGAAGAAATACAGACTATTTTGTAGAACTTTGAGGCCTAGGTGAAATGAGATTTCCTAGTAAAATATTAACTCTCAAAAATGGACTCAAGAAGCATTATTCATTTCATTACTTTTTCTACAAAGAATTGAAAAGGAGTCATTCTTCCAACCACCAATCCTGGGCCATGGTTTTAGGTTCAGACAGTTTTAGAGGTAAATTCTACCAACCCTTCAGTGAATACATGATTTCTGTAAATACAAGAAAAACAGGGAAGTTTTCCAGTCCATTCTACTAGGCTAATATTAATTAACCTGACACCTAAATTGGAATAAAATAGTATCACCCCAAAAATACAAAACCTGTGGATGAAATTCACTTCTGTAGTTTTTCAGATGTAAAAATAACAACCATGACCAAGCAGAGATTCAAAAGTAGTTCAATATTAGAAAATCCATTAATGTAATTTCATTCATTCATTCCTTTATTCAATAAACACTCACTGAATGCCTACTATGTGCCAGACATTGTTGTGGGTATAAAGGAAATGACCCATAGCAATGAAAAAAAATAAAACAGAGTTCTTGCCCTCATAGATCTTATAAACTTCTGGGAGGAGAAAAAAACAGAATTATTTCAGAGTGCTATAAATTCTATGAAGGGCAATTGAATGGTCATGTAGTAGTAACAAAGGGGAGGCAATATAGGTTTAAATAACCCTTTTCTAATATGTTTTATATCTTAGAGTTAAAACCTAAGGATGGAAGGGAACATTCCACAGAGAGGAAAGAGTAAGAGCAAAGCACCTGAGGCAGGAAAGAGCTTAGAGTTCTGAGGATCAAAAAGAGAGCTGGTTTTCTGAAACAAAATGATGGGGATTCTGAAGAGCAGGGGTTGGCAAACTATGGCCCGCCCGCAAGTCAAATCTGGCCTACTGCCAGTTTTTGTAAGTAAAGTTCTATTGTAATATAGCCAAACCCCTTTCTTTACGTATTGTCTATGGCTGTTTTCACTATGCAATAGTAAAATTGAATAGCTGCAACAGAGATGGTACGTCCAGCAAAGACAAAAATATTTACTATCAGGCATCTTTACAGAGCATGCTGACGGTTGTAATGCCGTCTGCACCCTTGTAGAAGGTCTGCGTCGCTTTCTAAGTGCAATGGAGTCACTGGAGAGATTGAGGCAGAAGAGTTTAAAACATGATCTACTTCCATTTTAAAAACCTGGCTTTGAGATGATAATATTGGTTACTTTTGGAGTAGGCTATTGACCAGAAGAGGGCATGATGGAGCCTTTTGGCGTGCTTAAAAAGTTCTGTATCTTAATCTGTGTGTGTGTGTGTGTGTGTACATATATGTGTGTTTGTGTGTGTCTGTATATAGATATATACTCACCTGTATTTGTAAGACTTTCCTACTTTACTGTGTACACAGTATACCTTAATAGGAAAGCTCTGAAAGCAAAAAAGCACACCATAAACAAAAGAGAAAAAAGGGACAGTGTGAGAGAAGAACTTGCAATACATACACAAAAACGTAACAGCCATTAGCAAAGAAATCCTGGAAATTCATTAGAAAAAGTCAAAAAGACATAATTAAAAATAGTATGATATGGGGAAATGGGAATGTTAATTAGTACAACCTTTTCAGAAGGTGATTTGTCAACATCCATTAGATAAAAAATTCAATACTCTATAACCAGCAATTTCACTTCCAGCAATCTATCCATTCAACAGAAATACGTGAACATAATGAACAAATATGTATAAAACCTAATGATGTTCAGCACTGGTTCTAAACCTGAAAAACAAATAACTGCTATAATGACAAATTACTCATTCCCATGAGCATGATTTTATATAATCACTGCCTCCACACGGCAGAAGAATATATGTATGGATGTACATTAAAGATGCCTGGGATCCTGGGAATACTAAATCATGCAATACCATACAATTATTTTTTTCAAAGTTATACACCAAACTGCTGACAATTTGGAGTTTTGAAAGTTGAAGGCATAGGGGGAGGTAAAAGTGTTCCTTCACTCCACCCCAGCATTTTATTTTAAACTTTAAAACACACAGTGAACCTGAAAGAACACCAATACACCACTTCTAGATTTTGTCATTTTACTATACTTGTGTCTTACATTTTTAATTCAATATATTTCTAAATGTGTAGTTTGTATTTTTTAGCACATGGATATTAATTTTTGTAGGAACAATATGGTTTCAATAATGAATAGATATTACTTTCATAATCAGAAAAATTAAATATTTTTACAAATTATTTCCCCCTTAAATCTTCCTCTACATACTGATTTTTCATTTATACAACCAATTCTAAAAATAAAATGATCAACACTTAGAGTAGTATGGCCAGGCTGCCTTACTCCATGCTTGACACAAAAATCATTCCGTTATGTCATCCCCGAAATGATGATCCTGTTTTTAAAGCTTCAGTTATTTAAATTACCTTTGGCTACACATTTCTAAAACACCTTTTCCACCTTATAACTGGATATTACTTTAACTGCACATTTTGACCCAGTCCTCTTTTCACTTTCAGGTTCGTTGCTGTTACACATCATAGTAAGGTTATGATCTAGCATTATGACTATAATGAGGGAAAAAACCACCTAAAAAGCAGTAAATGTAGAAAATTATCATCTTTCTCCCTTCAGTACTTTCGTTTTCATTTTTTGCATTTTATTTCCTCCACATTCCGTATTCATACATGCCAGTTGTTACTATCATTCCCCTTACTTCATCTCTAAGACATGAAACACATTTTAGAGCAATTGCTGATGATGAGCTGGCATTTTCAGGTTAACTTCCTACTTCTGACGAAGAATTGAGCTTCTCAGATCACTACTACCCGTGCTAAGAAATAAGAAACAAAAACATGAGAATTCTAAGCCTTCCCGCAGAAATCACACATTCAAAAAGGCACTATTTACATAAATGCTACACTCAAAGACACAATGGCATTTCATTAATGTAAACTATTAAAGAATAAATCAAGAAACATCCTTTTTGAATAAAAAAGGTTTAAAACATGCAAAACCCACAAATATTTACAACTTTTATGCCTTATTCAAATCTACGCACTCTCCAACCAACACCGAAAGTACTATTTCCACAAATGGAATGGCAATGAAACTACGACTAATTCCACTGTAGTCAAAAACATAATGAACACATGCGGAATACTGACTGCAAATAAGGATGTGTGCCAGATCAGATGTAAACTGTTTCAGGCATAAAAGCCAGCCTGGGGCTGTGCAAATTTCATTAGCCTCTCTGTTATTCAGGAAAACTTGTCTCCTACCACTCGTGGCTTGTAATACTTCAACAATACCAAAGCACCTCCTTTTCCTTTCCCACTAACGCCAGGCTCTTAAAAACAATTTTTTAACCCTCCGTTGTTGCCTCTTAATTCCTTACCATAACAACTGTGTTCCTCAGGTTTCTTGTTCCTTAGCCGGATATCTCCATACGGGTCTTCCTTATTCCACAGCGCCAGGTAAAAGACTCCTACCGCCCCTTCAAGGCCTCTTTTGTATCTCCTCGTGCGCACTATTTCTAAGGGGAGTTTCTAAGGAAATAGTGTCCAAGGTCTTCCCACAGTGGACGCTATCTATGCACAGGATCCCCTGGCCTGTTCTCTCGTTGTAAAGACACGAGACTCTGGAAATTCTCATTTCTATGCCAACATTCAGAATATTTTTGTACACGAGATCGTTTAGGCTGGGGACCAGGTAGCACTGCTGGTACACCCTGTCGGAGATCGTCACATCAAAGCAGTAAAGAGGCGGTTTCGGTATCCGGTCGCGTGGCTCATCCCCTAACAGGTACCTTTGGACAGCCAGCACAGCGACAGGCACCACCTCCGAAGGGGTGATCCACTGGAGAGGTGAGTCCGTTCTTTGCTCAAGAACATTTCGGATCCAGGACTTGGGCCCTTGGGCCCCGGCCCCTCGGATCACCCCTCCCGGGACGCTAGCCCCACTTTTCTCACGGTTCGGCCGGTCTAGCCTAGCATGTGTGGGGCTGGCTTCAGGCTGGCCTAACTCACCAGACGTGATCGTCAGGCCACTGACTACCCTCTTCACTCCCCCAAAGCGAATTTTCCCAGTTCAAAGCGAGAGAGTAAGAAACCGCGCGCTTGGGCGACGATCGCTACTCAGCCTGGTCGACTGAAAAGGCTCCTCCCCCGAAGGGGGCTGCACGTCGTTTCGCGAGTGAGCGTCGAATCTCTAGCCCCGCCCCCAGATCGGCGCACTTCCATTGCTCCGGCGCTGTTACTACGCAGCCACGAGCGCGGTTACGTAGCAGGTCCTCGGTTCTGGTGCCCGCGGGATTGCCACGGGAGGGGTAGCAGGAAAATCACTGGTCGCCCTGGGTCCAGAAGCGTAGCAAGAGGGAGGGGAAGGAGCGCTCGTGGCCCTTCTAGAAGGGAGGACGCCGAAAGGCAATGGAAGAAAAGAAGGTGGACGTACGCGGGGTGCAAGTAGTCATAGCTCAGGGGTTTGAGGGTTTGAGCCATGGACCACCAACAGAAAGTAAATCAGAGTTGGTATAGTGAATATATATTGAATGTGTATGTACATTCATTCCTGTGCTCTGATATATAGTGCACGTATGTATCACTGAATGTTATAATATGGGTTTCCTTTAGTATGAACAAAACCAGATAACGTATGCACAGCCTAGCCCAGAAAGTCCTCCCTAAAAGTATTTTGCTGAATGCACGGTTGGTGAATTAGTGAGTACTGCAAATGAAAACAAAAAATTGTAGAACTGGCTTGGTAAAGAGCTGCCTTCGGATTAGACTTCGTAAAATGTACTTAAGTTTTAAAGGATACCTGGCTTAAAATACAGCTAGGGTGCAATTTCAGAAACCACTCCTAAACTACAAAGAATGTATATGGAACAAATGTAAAGTGAAAAAGCTGTAAGAATACTCGGAATTAATAGTTAGATGTGAGACTATACACAAAATGTGGTAAGTTTCCTATTGTTGTGCCCAAAGTCGCGAATCCCAAGGAGACCACCAAGGAGCCAACACGGATGCAAAAGCAAAAGAGCCTTTATTCGAGCTAGCCAGAGCTCAATCTCACACCCGTGCCAACACAGTGGCCAGGTGCCAGAGAAAGAGAGCGCTTTTTCCCCAGAACAAAGGTTTTATGGGTTTCCAGGGCGGTTTGGGAGGGTGATGGCCGTGGCTCTGGCTGATTGGCTGTGCCTGGGGGTAGTTGGGAGGGTGATGAGTCGTGGCTTTGGTCAATTGGCAGGGTCTAGGGGTGGTGGGTATACTTCTTGCTGACTGGAGGGGAGAGAGACCAAGCTCCGATTGGGTGAAATAGGTTCCGGGTCCCAATTGGCTAAAATAGAATCTGGGAGCTTGCCCTTTCACTGTGAATACTTTTCAAAGGTGATTATAGACTTGTTGTGATTAATCTCCCTTTGCTATTTCATGACTGTTCATTTACTATGAAGTACCTAGTATGAGGCAGCACTGTTTTAGCTCATTGGGGATAATAGTAGTCAGGCTCCTTTATCAAGCTTCTTCTCATAGCCTAGGATGAAGAACCTTCCCATTATTAATCTTTAACTAATTCACTCACTCTGCACATATTTCTTGAGTGCCTGCTCTGGGCAAGGCAAGGTCTTGCTATGGACACCAAAAACGTAATAAGGGGAAAGGCAGCTGAGGGGGCAGAAGTTAATATTTTATATAGAGTATGATTAAAGAAGGGTTCAGCAAGAGATTGAACAGAGCGGAGACCTGAGGAGGTGAGGAAGTGTGTATGTGGGTATCTTGGGAAAGGGCAGTTGAGTGAGAGGGAACAGCAAGAGCAGATTCCCTGAGAGCAGAAGAATACTTGATATTTCCAAAGAAATGCAAAAGCCAGTTGGCTGGAGTGGAGGGGTGAGGGGGAGAGTGCCAGGAGATGAAGTCAGAAAGTAGCAGTATTGTAGGCTTTTCTCTATCTCAAGCAGGAGGGACATACTTCAGCTTGAGCCACATTTCTATCGATAAACATTTCATTCTAGAATGATGTTTCTCTTATCTCTGTCACCTTGTTACATCACTCATTTACCATTTGTCACCTAATACTGTGATGAACAAAATTTAAATACTGTGATTAAAACAAAACATTTAATGTATATAGTTTGTCTCTCTAACTCAGGGTTTGTCAACTTGACATTCTTGACATTTTGGGCCAGAAAATTATTTGTTGTGGGGATGTCTTGTTCACTGGAGAATGTTTAGCAGCATTTCTGACCTCTACCCACTAGCTACCTGTAGCACTACCCTCCCCCACAAGTTGTGACAACTAAAAATATCTTCAGACATTGACAAATATTCCCCGAGGGGAGGGCAGTATCACCCCTTGCTGGAAACCACTAATTTAACTAATTTAAGCCTTTTAAGAGCAGAACTGATTTATTCTTTAGAATTTCCCATAGTTCTTTCACTACTGTTATGCATAAATAGCATCTAGTATTTCAAATAAATAAAACATATAATTCCCACTTCCTCTCCACTTAAGGGAATATATGTATGTGTCCTCTCTATAAACAATACAATAAACAAAAATCCAAACTTAGAAAACAAACAATAAGTAAGCTCCCTGAGTTTTGGTACTTTATGTTAACTGTTGAATCTCCAGTGCTAAAATAAGAATCTAGCAGATCGTAGTGAATGAAAAAAGGAAATGACAGATTTTTATTGGATTTACTGCCAGAGTCATTAAATATCAACTACCTAACTACCTCTATTGTTTAGCCACAAAGAACTGGTTTGAAATCTTCCATATCTGCTCCATTACCTCTCCCAAACTATATAGTCAGTGGAATTGATACCTAATAATACTGTATCATCATATTCTGGGGCCTTCCAGCTAATTCATAGAAGATGAATATTGGCAATGCTGCCCAGGAGTTGGGTAATTACTGGAATTGGGAGGAAATAGCACCCATTTTTTTTTGTTTTGGTTTTTACAATACTTCACACAATACAGATATACAGTGACTGAGGCACATATTTGGTGTCTTTTGTATTGCTCTACCAACAATCTACTGATAATGTATCTCCCCAAGATGTCTACTTGAGTACGTATCACACCTACGTGTGAATGTCCCCTGACGTAGTATTATATTATGATAACTTGCTTAAGATTAATTACACAATAGAGTAAGAGAAATAATTTTTTGACCCAATAATACGTTACTGATTTTTTTCTCCCCTCAGATCCCCACAATTTGTTATAGTGGCCCCTAGAGCTTAAAATAGTAAAAGCAGTCAAGATAATCATTGTACAAAATGGCTATGTTCTAAGATATTCAAAACACATAAATACATCATGAAATTTATTTTGTGGTCCACTATAAATTTGGTGCAGATATCAGCCATGTGGATTTTCCTCAACATTAAAACTGGACTCATAAAAGTAATCACAGTTGTTGAAAAGTTAGTTATTATGAATAAAGTGCTTAAAACACCAGCACATACCAAGAGTTCAGTAAGCGCTAGGTATTGTTACTATTATTTTAAAAGAAGGTATAACAAAAATAACAGAGTGCTGGAATATTAGATACCCTCTAATTCAGAGTTCTGCAAATTGTGGGTTGTAAAGCATTAATGAGGTGATGAAGTCAATTATTGGGTCACAGTCATCAATTAAAAGTATGAAAAAGAACAGAAAATGTCAGTATATCACGCATAGTAAGAGTAAGGACTGCTTCATAATACTTTTGTTTCAGATTTGTTGGCATGTATATGTGTATATTGGATTGTGATGTAAAATGTTTTTCTTACTATAGACTGTGACCAGAAATGTTTAAAAACAATTGCTATAGTTCAACCCCCCGCCCCTCTTATTAGAAGAAAGAAATTAGTCTTAGAAAAGGGGACTTACATGACCAAGATCACATAGCACTAAGTGATAGAGCCTCAGGGCTACTAGCCAAGTCTGATTACAAAGCCAATATCCTTTCCATAACATAAAGTTATTGTGCTGATCATTTCTCAATATATACAAAAAAAATATGTGCACCGAAAATAAGCAGTCCCAAATATATGAAGCAAATGTTCGACACACAGGAAGAAGAAATGGTAACACAAAAATAAGAGGGGCTTCCATACCTAGTATGAAACAACCAGACAGAAGATCGACATGGTAGCAGATGACTTCCACAACATGACAGACCAATTGTACGTAACAGACATTACAGAGCACTCAGCTCAGTAACAGCAGAATCCACATGGAACGTTCCCCAAGGAAGCCCACGGAACAAGTCTTAACAAATTTAGGAAGATGAAGTCACACAAAATACCTTCTTCACCCACAATGGAATGAAACTAAAAATCAATAGCAGAAGGAAAACACGAAAACCCACAAATATGTGGAAATCAAACTACTCACTCTTAAATATCCAATGGTCATAAAAAGAATCACAAGGGATTAGGAAGATATCTGGAGAGAAATAATAAAAAAACAAAATACACATATAGATATAAATGTTTAAATATAGAAACATTTATCAGTGTGTGTGTATAAAGGGTTTGATGACACACATATATTGAATCACTTTTTCATCTGTGAGGTCCTAGAAGAAATGATACCAGAGTAGCAATGAGAACACCTAATGTCCAGATCTTGTTTGAACAATTCTCTAATAAAAAGAATCAGAGCTCCTTGAACAAATAGCTCATTCAGGAAATGGGAAAAAGATGCAAAACCTGAGTCTGGAGCATCTTGCAGTTCTAGAAAATAAGGAAGTGCTAAAAAAAATCCCTATATAGATGGGGATGTGTTAAGGTGGTACAGCAGCCAACCAAAAGAGCCCCGATTGTCAAAGCTGGAGCAATTGGAATAACAAATTAATTAGTAGTGAATTGTAACCCAAAGTACAAAATTCATACCTATGTTCCATACTGATATAAATAAATATTAAATAAATAAAAGAATGGGGCAGAAGAGACCACTTTCTCTTGCATAAGAATTCTAAATAATTTATACACATACTTTGCCCTAAAAGAAGGGGAACCTAAATCCCTACACCTTAAAGTGTAGCTGAGTGTCATGACTTCTTTCCCCAAAGTGCAGTATGCTAAGGGGGTTGGGAGAAAGAGCAACCTCCCAGTGAAGAAGCCTGACAAACTCTACTTCACCTAAGGGATCGGTGTCAGTATCAACAGTGACAAGTCATGATGGAAATAT